GGGACCACAGCGTGAGCCTGGTGAGGTTCAGTCAAGCCTGCTGTCAATTAAAGAGATGTGTCCGGTATCAGTGAGTGAACAGTTTATAATGATTATATAGAAATAGTCTCATTCCTATGCTATTATGTCTCAGAAGAAGCCTATTTTCCCACTTAAAGGTGAATTGTGTAACTTTTTGTTTGGGGTCCATCATCTGCTTGTTTCTCTGGAAATCATTGCTCTGCTTGGAATGTTCCACAGTATGACATTAACCTGCTCTACCTTACGTTTATTAAATTAAAGATGGTTTTATAGCTCAAAATTACCTAGAATAGCAGGCATTCTGACTGTGAGCGGGGTTTCCTCTCCACAAATCAAACCTGTAGCTTGGTCTGGTTTGGTCTCCATGAAGATAGAAAGGTTTAATGCCGTACTGTGAAACATTCCAGACAAAGCAATAACAATCTCCACCAAACATTACTGTACAAAAATCAGCAACATTAGTGATACTAGTTTAAGACATTGGTACTTTTGCTTCATATTGCTTTCGTTTTAATGTGTTCTTGTGTTGAACTTTCATTTTTCCCCTTTTATGAGCCGACTGTTTATGTATTTATAGTTGAAACTTGCCAATAATACAAATGTTTGAGAAACCACAGTTTATAAAACCAAGACCATCAAAATGAGTCTAAATTAAATACAACATAAAATGACTATCGTAGAATGTGTGGTAAGATATTTTAAATGCATTTTGTATTCACACTACAATGAAGTGTAAAAAACCTTGATTGTGTAATAGTAATTCTACATCTACTATAAAAATACTATTCCAGGCAGTGTAAAACAAGACATCTGATGTAACATGAACAAAACTGCTCAGCTTGTGTCAGTCATTCTGGGCAGCTTTCCTCCTCAGGTCTTCATTAATTCTTGATGGAGATGAGTGAAACCAATAATCCTCGGGCGGATGCACAGCCCTGTCTTAAATCAATAGGTTTTCTGTAAAAAAATAAATAAATAAATACAAAATCATTGAAAGTCACAAGTCAGTGGAGTGTGTGGTGGGATAGGGAACTGCCTGTGTATGAAATATTAAAGAGGTGTTCCCAGAGGAGAGGAGGAGGAGTTGAGGGGGGTGCACTGTCTCATACAATGAAGTTACACTGTTCACCTGCACCTGACGGGACAGGTGCTGCTGCTGGGGCAGAGAGAAACAAGTCTGAGGTCTGTAGGAACCAATAATGTGATGACTGCCAGTAATATAATCATTGTGACTACCTGGCTTTTGTTTTTTGTTTTTTTTTAACATCATACCATGAAATTTTTACCAACTAAAGAGTGCAACATGTGCAGTTCAAAGGAAACAAGTAAGAAACTGTTGGGTTGTGTGAAAGTAACACCCGTGTACCCTGACTGCAACTGAAATGTCGTCACACTTTTTTCATGGTTTGGGTGGTCCTGCGACTTATACTTCGGTGTGACTTATTTATTAAAATTTTCACACTCACAGCTGCAAGATGCTCTAGACTTGTGTGTCAGTATCGGCTGCTCCTGTTACTCTGTCCACTGTCTCTTCGCTCTGCTGCTCACATCTCCTGCGCATGAGCCTCTGTCCTGCTGCAAGTAGTGAAATATTCAGCCGAAAACAATAATCAAGCAGCAGAAAGAATGTTTGAAGTGAATGAGACTTGTGAGGGACTGGCAGAAATGGCAACTGGGAGGATCATGTAACTTTCTTGGAAGTCACTGGATGGATCGACAAACTTTAGTGGACTTCAGTGACAACTGAAACCATCTGTTGGGATTCAGAAAGGAAGACAGCTACGCAGAAAAGGAAGTGGTGCTCTGTTTACCTCCGGAGGTCACGGAGTTGTTCAGAAGTGACACCGAGGATGGAGAATTCAATGGATTTAGTGATTTGGAGTGAGATGGAGAGTTTGGTAAACCTGTTATGTTGTTTATGCTATAGTTATCTGAATAACTTGCCTTTCAAGATGAAATGTCGGTTCCTGGTCTTTGATTTTATACAATTAATGTTGCCCAAAAAGTGCTACTTATAGTCTGGTGTGACTTATAGTCCAGAAAATACGGTAAGTGGCAAAAATAACAAGAGTGTCAAATAAGGCATAATTATATAAATGCATGTGTACAAGTAAAAACTAAAATATAGAAATATAATAATACAAATATATCTCTCAGTTATATACAAGCAAAGTGCAAAGATGAAATAGTGAGTGACATACCAGAAGGTTATCTATTAGAAGAGGGTGAGTTGTTGTACAGTTGTATGAAGTATGAATGTAGTCATAGTTATTACATGATTAATACAAGGTCCTTCCATAGTTTTCAAAAGTTGTTTACAGTGCCCAATCACAGGTCGATGGGAGGTACAGTAAAGATGAAGTCAGTTTCCGTGACTTTACTGCAGTCAACAAGTCAGAGGCTCCGCAGAGATGCACTGATCCTTATGCAACTCCTAACTGTCGCCAGGCAAACGCTCCAATGGGAACAGGAGACAGAGCTGGAAAATGTGAGTAACGGATGTGCAAGGATTTGAAAATATAATGAAAGAATAAAGACACCAGATACAGTTTCTGACTCTTTCAATGATTTGCACAAGGTTTGAATGACTTTGAAAGAACAAAAAATTGTATTGCTATTATTTCAACTAGAAATGACTCCAAATATCTGGCACTGGCAATATTACCTCTTTGTATTATTTTAACCAAAAATTACTGTAAATATCTGGTACTGGCAACATTATCTTTGTATAGGTCAGTGATTTTCTTTATTTTTTTGTGTGCATTCTTCCTGATAAATAAACTAAACAAACAAACACACAAACCAAAACAAAAAACAAAAAAACACCAAACAAACAAACAAACAAAAAAACATTACAAAACATTATATTTGTGTTTTTCCAATTGTAGCCATTCACATTGCAATTTTAGTGGTGGAAAAAGTGCTCTGATATTACTTAAGTAAAAATACAGCTATTGAAGCAAAAAAAAAAGTACTTAAAAGTATATTGCACAGATGTTTAGGTCTTATTAGGATTCAAATGTATGGCTTTTAATAAAGATTTGTGTTGAACAACTAAAATGCAGTTTTTCTTTGTATATTTTTGTTGCTCAAACTAAAAATGTATTAAAAACAAACTCCTCGGCCTTTTCAGCAGGTCTCAAACCATAATAAAAGTACTTTTACTTTTCAGTCCTGTTCAAAAATGTGGTAGAGTATTCACACATCTACTTAAAAGTGCACTGTGTAACTTTTGATGTTATTGCTTTGCCTGGGATGTTCCACAGTATGGCATTAAACAAATATGGCTTGTATTTATTAATTTACAGGTGTTTTTATATATGAAAACTAGACACGTTTTCTCCAAAGTAGGCTTTTAAACTGAGAATATAGAGTATAATGTCGAGCAGTTACAAAAACTATATAGTCTGAAGTTTGTTTTTCTCTTTTACAATAACATAAAAAATCTTTGTGTTGTGTCTTGGTTGAGGACAGTAGTGTTAGACTTTTATCTTTGTACTTTTCAAACATGTCCTTTATAACAGCAGTGAGGTGTAACATGAAAGAAACGCTATGAATCCATTGTACTTCCCCAAGCTTAATGGTGTGAATACAAATACTTTCCTTTTATTGTGGATATTGAGTCTTTTGCATTTTAAGCTGTTCTCGGATGAGGCAGTGATTGGCTGCAGTGACAGGATCGTTTGTCATTTATCCTCTTGTAATCTTCTACATCAGAAACAGTGTTAACAGCAGATATCTGTTCATTTACTAATGTCTCTTTTCAGTGCAATATTAAGTACTTATTGTGCTATGACAGTTTATCTGAATAGAGACAGGTAAAATAAGGACAGGTTTGTATTCTTTATTTACAGAACTTTATTTACAAAACTTATTCAAGCTGTTTTATTTTGTGGATTTAGCAAAGTTTGTAATGACTTATACTGCATTATAATGTTTAGAACTTGGAATCAACTGAAATTACTGCAGTAAAAGTGTGAACTGGATTTTGTTTGATATCTGTTGGGAAAAACATTACACTACACACATTACACATTACACTACCATCAAAAGTTTTAGAACACCCTAATTTTTCCAGTTATTTATTGCAATTCAAGTCGTGCAAGTCCAAAGAATAGCTTAAAATGGCACAAAGGTAAATAATAAATAAGTCCAAGCTCTGCCAAAACTAGCTCAGGAAAAAAGAACAAGATGGTCAACTTGAAAACATGGAGTGTCCAGCACAGTCTCCAGACTTAAACCGCATCGAGCTGGTTTTGAGATGAACTGGAAAGAAAAGTGAAAGCCAAGAAACCTACAAGTGCCACACATTTATGGGAACTTCTGCAACAGACTTGGGAAGAACTTTCTGAAGAATATTTGATTTGTGTTGTAAAAAGTGTGTTCAGCTGTTATATCTGCCGAAGATGGACACTTTCATGAATCAAAAGTGTAGAATACGTTTTGGTCAACAGTAAACAGTAAAAAAAAATTGAAAAAGTGTGGTATTCTAAAACTTCTGACCGGTGTATTTGGAGCTTTATTTTAAGTTTATTTAAAAGGACAATGATAATAGAAAAAATGTAGGATGCACGAGATACAGAAACCTGGTAGATGTTGGCTTGGAATTGTAGGGATATAGAACCAGTCTTGCTTTGTTGGAAATCAATACAACAATCAATCAACACAATATCCATTATCACATTTCTCAGTAGGTGCAACTTTTCTCCATGGTGATGTTACTGTTGTTGATGTTTCTGTAATTTTCCACAGTAATGCATTAGACTTAACTTGTCACATATTCTACAATAGTCATTTTGTGTTGGCCGTACCGACTTGTCAAAGCCTGATCTCGTCTGATCTCAGAAGCTCAGCAAAGGCCGGGCCTGGTTAGTACTTGGATGGGAGACCACTGGGAACATCAGATACCACAGTGGGGCTCCAGTGAGAAAAAACGTAGTTGTGTCCTTAAGCAAGGCACTTCACACACATTGCCTAGCATGAATGTGGTGGGTGTGAGTGATGGTGGTGGTCGGGTGGGGCTGATGGTGCAGATTAGCAGTGTTGCCTCTGCCATTTCCCCCAGGGCAACTGTGGCTGCAATATTAGCTCATTAGCTCTGAGTGTGAAGTGGCCATACCAACTTGTCAAAACCTGATCCTGTCAGATTTCAGAAGCTAAGCAAGGCCGGGAAGAGAGACTGCTGGGAAAATCGGGTGCCACAGTGGGGTGGCAGTCGTAAAAACTGTTGTTGTTTCATACTAGGCAATGTGGGTGAAGTGTCTTACCAAAGGACACAATGACCGTTTTTGCCACTGTCGCCTGGGTGTGGAGTGAATATAAACATATGTCTGTGAAAAGCGCTATATAAATAAAACTTACTTACTTAAGCAAGGCACTTCACATACATTGACTAGTATGAATGTGGTGGGTGTGAGTGATGGTGGTGGTCGGGTGGGGCTGATGGCGCAGATTGGCAGTGTTGCTTCCATCCGTCTGCCCCAGGGCAACTGTGGCTGCAATATTAGCTTACCACCACGGAGTTTAGAGTGAATGAATAATGCTCTGTAAATTAACCAAGCCAAGTTACAGGTCACTTCTGTGAAGAGTATAAAAAACAACTGTAATTGAATTAAAGCCAGATAGACAAGTTTAATGCCACATTGTGAAATATTAAAAACAATACTAATAACATCGCCATAGAAACAAACAAGAGGCGGACGCTCAACTAAACAATTTACACAGTGCTCCTTTAAGTCTGACTGCACAGCCACTATTTTCAGTTTTTGTTTGCTTTCACTCAGTTTTCTATCTGATCCCTTTTTGTGAAATGTAGGCCAGCCATTTTTGAATAGCGGGACTTCAAAAAAACTGTGAACTAAATTAATCTATGCAAGCCAGCAAAGCATGTACAGAGAGTGAGAACATGAAAGCTGATTCGACTTCAGTCACCTCCAGCCTGTGTTAATTATGGAACAACACTGGAGGGATGGCTCAGAATTATTTAGTGCACTGGAAGAGTTTCCCTTTAGAAAGTGTGAACAAACAACTACAGGCGCTGGTCATGTTGAGAACCATGTTTACAGAGCTCCAAACTTCACGGGAGACCACATTTTCATAAAGATGATTACTTTGAATTAGATTTGTATTTTTGTCTTTTAACTTTTATCCAGTCTAGCTGAAAATTAGAACTTTTGTTTCAAGTCTCATGTGATGGGGGTAATCGGTACGGTGTTTGATATGAACTGCTCACATGATAACAGCGTAATCTGTTTACTTCATACAGATAAATGAAGGAGGTCCGATGTTAAGAGACAGAGTGAATCGAGCCACAAGAGAAATTAAAAACTTTTATAAACATAGAATTAACTTGTTTTCCCCATTGTTTTTCTAATCACAGATATCACTTCATTTAGTGATGTTCCAGTTTAATCCAACTATTTCTAATGCACTTTTTACACTACAATAATGATAAAATAAAGCTGTGATGATGGCCCTCGCTCGCCCTGGTGTGCACGACTCCACACCTTAATTATTATATTTTTATTTTTATCTTTGCAACCCTTTTTTTATCTTTGCAGCTGTGAAAAATACCCCATAATACTTTTTTTGCTTGTAGTCATTCACAGAATTGAATCCCCAAATTTGAAAACACCGTAAGAAATATCCCAAAAAAGCAAATAATTTATGTGAACCTATGTCTCTAAATGTGACGTACCAAATGTAAGCTAATTTTGATCAAAAACCGGGGACTAGTCATGTTTTACACACACGCAGTCAAAACTGGGGCAAATTTTTTTATCCAATATTGCTGATTTTCTGTTCATCATAGGGGTATTCGCCAATTCAACTTTTAGCTTGTCTTAGTTGTTCTCTATTACTGTTTTGAATTTTGCCCAGAGCTGTCACTAGCCATTTACGAGGATTCACATGATGCCCCCACAAGTACTTGGTGCCTTGTGTGTAATGTGCGTAATGTGAAGCTACAATACTGCATGTGCCAAACTTCACTTGTCCCTCCTCCCATAAGGGTCCACTTTTAGGCAGCATTGTTGAGTTGAGTCATTTTGGGCACTGATGCATTTTATCAATTTATTTACCGGACCAGTCAATCCCATACCCAGTTTGGGAACTTTTCATCAACAATTTGGCCCTCATAGTCACAATTGTTTGCAAGAAAAAATAATAATAGAAAAGAAGAAATGGGCAAAGAACTAAAGCCAAAGACAAGAAAAATAGGCATAGATTTCAAAAATACAGACAAACAAAAACTCACTCTACACTATAAAAGTTGATATTAAAGGGAAAATTTACTCTTTTGAGCATTAAGCCATGTTATAATTAGGGGTGTCAAATTATCGCGTTAATTGCGATTAATTAATTACAGTCATATTTAGCGCGTTATGTTTTTTAATCGCGTTAATTTCATTTTTAATCTCTAACTTTACTGTTTCTGTATGCAAGTTGCTTTATTATAAAACCTGTTTTTATGTGTTGTTGGGACAACAACAACACACACACAAAAAAAACACATTTATACATTTTTTTATTTCGGTAATTCCACTCATTGCCAGAAACCCACACAAAACACGCGCAGTAAGAGCGATGTAAACATCATGTTAACGTTGGCGGCATCAGTCACACAATGGACGAAGTCGAAGAGCCAGTAGAACAGAGTCAGCAGTGCACAGGTAAAAACACATTCGTGTCTTGGAAATTATTCTCCCGACGTGAAATATAAAAGAAAATAACTAATATAATATCGCCTACAACTTAAATGTCACTGGTGAAAACAACCTGCATAGACTCATGATGTCTGCACTACTGTCCTATAGTGACCTGCCACATGAGGGGACACGCACACAAACACAACACACACACACAAACACAAACACAAACACACACACAAACACAAACACACACACTTCATCATCGTCATTAACCTGAGAACGCGCGGACCACGTTTCCTTCCGTAGTTACTGCGCGGACACCGACGTGCTCCCGTGAGCCGCGTGTGGATCATGTTTTCTCGCGTACGCGGCGTAAACCGCGCTTCCTCCTGTGCGCCTCTAAACCAGAACTAACACCAAGACTAAAACCAGGACTTATCCAGTCCAGGACTAAACCAGGTCTAAACCAGGACTAAACCAGAACTAAAACCAGCTCTAAACCAGGTCTAAACCAGGACTAAACCAGAACTAAAACCAGAACTAAAACCAGGTCTAAACCAGGACTAAACCAGAACTAAAACCAGAACTAAAACCAGAACTAAAACCAGGACTAAACCAGGACTAAACCAGGACTAAACCAGGTCTAAACCAGGACTAAACCAGAACTAAAACCAGCTCTAAACCAGGTCTAAACCAGGACTAAACCAGAACTAAAACCAGAACTAAAACCAGGTCTAAAACCAGAACTAAAACCAGGACTAAACCAGGACTAAACCAGGACTAAACCAGAACTAAAACCAGAACTAAAACCAGGATTAATCCATTCCAGGACTAAACTAGGACTAAAGTAGGACTAAAGCAGGTCTAAACCAGGACTAAAACAAGGACTAAAACCAGTGATCTCATATATAAAGCATTTCTCTATCAATAATATTTTTAATATGGTTAAGGAAAGACTGGACTTTTTTATTGTCTTTAAGTAGACAAAAGTTATTATGTTCAGATTTCCTCGTCTTTGCTACTTTACAGCAAACAGTTTCTTATTCATGGAGACTTGGGCTCAACAGCCAATTTGGGGAGATTTGTTAAACAATAAATGACTTATAAAGTCACTTTTTTTTGTTCTATATCAGTCTTTTGATCTGCCACAATAATGTAATAATGAATTTAAATGAAAATACCTCAAATTGAAGGCTTTTCTCAGCAATTTTAGGTGAGATTAAAATGAGATTAATTAGATTAATTAATTACAGATCATAATTAATTAATCTCTCAATTTTTTTAATCGCATGACAGCACTAGTTATAATGTTGTTACCTAGTCAAAACATTCCTGGAGTTGTGTTTTGTTTCATTCACACATGTCTGAGTAACCCTTACTTATTATATCAGTCTGTCTACATCTCTGAAGCTCAAAATGCTCTGTTCCACCTTGTGATGTCATGAAGCAGTAGTTTTCAAGTTAACAGGTTCCTTTTATCTTTAGTTAAGTAGAAATAGGGAATTCCAGAGCTGAATTTATCCAAATGAGTTTAGTTAAAGTGTATGGAGTTTAAAAACACAGTGGAGCACTACTTGTATTACCACATGACATCACAAGGTGGAACAGAGAGTTTTCAGTTTGAGAGAAGACATGTGTGAGTTAAACAAAAACCCAACTCCAGGTTTGTTTGTGATGAGGAAACAACATTATAACATAGAAAAGAAAATATAAGCCCCTTTAGTTTTTGACATGAAAATCTGCTATTTCCAACAAAAGACATTTCTGTTGAAAGAATAGTGTCTGTAAACATCCTAAACCTTAATAAGTTAAGACTGATATGATGAGTATCTTCTAGAGGGTATATTCTTTGATTTTACTCTTCCCTTTTGCTTGGCGAAGGAAGTAGCTGGTTTATTCAAAGATATTTAACTCTCTGAAGTGTTGAGTAGTTGACGATCGATACATGGACTTATTATTCATCATGCAGAAATAAAAAGTTGCACTTCCGCAGTATCTGATCTATTCAAGGTGTCAACAAATGTAATGTTAGACAATAGTGGCCTTGATTTTTCGTCTCCATTGCTGTCAGCACTTAAACTACACTTCCCCATCAGTGTGTAGCTGTATTTTTGTTAGTATTTGGTAGGCGGGCAGTGGACAGGCTGTGGCGTGTCTCATCGGTGGTGTGGTCCATCCATCAGCTCTGGGCTTTAAACACTGAATGAGGCAGAAAGTGGAGCCACAGCAGTTTGCGTGTGATGGATCGCCATGACGATCTCAGTCCATCAATGGGACAAATAAGCTCCAAGACGCCGGCGTGATCTGCACCAGCGTCACTCTCACACCCACAACATCAGCATCGGCAAGGCCATAGATTGTGGTGGACTTTGTATTGATACTTTGCAGTGACATCACACTGGGGGTGTTCTACCTGTATGTGTATTGGCAGAATGAGCAGAGTTATTCAAAGTTATTAGCTCAAATTGTTCAATATCATTCAATATATTAGATATTTTTCAGAAAAACTTTGTCATCCAAGCCAAGGTTTTAATCTGTGGATCTTTTGTCATAGAGATCAGCTTTCATCAGATCAAGGTGGACCATGTAACTTTTCAATAGAGATTTTTTTGGGTTTGCTTAGTAATATTTGGAAAAACTTTTGTGCTTACTTTGTGTAGGGTTGCTTCTTCACAGATCTGACCTGTAATTTGGCCCAGCGGCATCACCTGCTGTGTACAGATATAGATTCTATCTGTATGTGTGGTTTCACATGTGTGCACTTTGTCTAACATGTATTACCTTTCTTGTTCTGTCACAGTGCTGCGGCCTTGGCCTGTCGCGGCTGCCTCCGCCCGCAGGTGTCACTCCATCTATAAGGGCTTCGCTCAGTGTCTCATGGCGCTGGGAGACAGTCTGACAGACAGCGCACGCAAGGACGAAGACACACACGAGATACACTCCATCTGCAGGTCAGAGCTGCTCAACACTGCACACAACTCTCTCCTAATGGCTCATTACTTTATATTTAAGCTGATGTTTATGAATTTGCAATCAAACACTGTGTCCAAACACTAAAGCTGGTCAAATCTGGTCATTCTTCCATTATTTCACTTATTTTCCAACAATACTCAGAGACAACTTGTATAAAACCATGCACATTTTCCAAGTGATCCTCATTAAAATCCCACTGTAACCAAATTTTTCCATCATTCTTGGACTTACTGCAGCCAGCAACAGGCAAGCCCCTTTGGAGGAGGAACTGAAGTCAGATCCCATAAAACTAACACAACATAGTTTGAAAATTACTCAAATAAATCCCTTTTTTCTACACGGGGCTCTGTCCACTGTGTGTATGTGAGTATTTATAATGTGTTCAGGTGGTTTGGCTATAAAAACAAAGCTGTTCCTCCCCTGGGAAAATATTGTACATTATCTGAGCATAAAGGCAGGGTTTTATAAAAAGAATGAGACCAGCATTTTAGTGTTTCTCGGCTCGTTCTTGTGTGTTATATTGATAGGATGGTGCAGCTGTGGTCCATAGATCGAAGACTAACTTGTGTTATTCCCCACTGTACTTACTCATCATCTGTTCTCAGACAATTAAAGAAAAATGAATTCAATTCAGAATGACTTATACTTATCACTGTCTGTGTGTGAGCAAAGAGGCAGTCATGGGTTCAAGGCAAATTTTTACTATGTTTTTCTCACTCTAGTTCCAAAAGGAGGTGAATATTAGTTTAAAGGACCCATACTGAACTATTTTCTGATCCATGTTCTTATGTTGTTTTTGCATCACAAACATACCTGGAGTTGTGTTTTGTTTCATAACTAACATAATTTCAGTCCTGGAATTGCCAAACTCTACTGAACTGAAGGTAAAAGGTATCTTGCGATTTGAAAACTACAATTTCACGACATCACAAGGTGAAACAGAGCATTTTGATCTTTGGAAATGTAAACAGACTAATAATAAAGGATTACTCAAACATGTTTGAATGAAACAAAACACAACTCCAGGTATGTTTTTGAGAAGGTAACAACTTCATAACATGGGTAAAAGTACACACTAGTCAATTTTGCGTAATATAGGACCTTTAAAATAATATTAACACTTGGAATTTTCAATCAATAGACCCTGTGATTTCATAAAACATACCTAAAGAAGAAGTGCAAAAATTAGAAATGTTTCAACAAAGTGCTACCCTATAAAATATATTTCACAAGTAAGACTAAACTATCCGGAGAGGTTAAATTATATTATAAAGTTACACACCACTTTATGATGTCATGAAGAGGTAGTTTTCAGGTTAACAGCTACATTTTACCTTTAGTTTAGTAGAGACTGGCAATTCTGGGACAGAAATTATCGAAATGATTCTAGTGAAGGTGTGTGGATAGTTTAAAAACACAATGGAGCACTTCCTGTATTACCACAACACATCATAGAGTGTTTTCTGTTTGAGGGAAGAACTCAGCCTAAATATGCAGGATTTGTGTGTTAAACGTGTGAATGAAAAAAAAAACAAAACAACTTCAGGTATGTTTTTGATGAGGAAATTACATTATATTAAAAAATACTGTAATATAAGCCCTTTAAGTAAATGTAGCTCCCACCTCTGATTCCAGAGTGTATATTTTATCCACATAAAACAAGAGTTATTGTGTATTTTGACAGTCTGTATTTACAATGTTGAGCTTGTCTCCCTGAACCAGAGCGTGGCTGGTTTAAGGCCTTTCCTCTGACTGCTTTTCCATAGTCATGTCTTATTGATCCACTGTTGCCTCTGTTTTATCTTGTACTTCAGTAACTCACTTCAGAGCAGCTCAGTTCTGTTGCAGTGTTGATCACCTCCTCTGATTTAATCTCAGCAGCTCTCATCAATCACATTTAATGATACCTACACTATTATGCGCCATAAGTGCCTCAGCGGTGCAGTGTACTCTAGTACCAGGGACAAGCTGAAAACATGGATTTTTATCACTCTACTTCTATACACAGGGGTGGAAAAATGCTGAAAATGTGTACTCAAGTAAAACAGCTGTTACGTGATACTTTGCAGCTGACATCATTAACTTTCCCGGGGGTTGTGAAGCTAAATGTGGGCACTGCTCTGTCTGAAGCTCTGTTAGACTTTAATGTGAGGTTTATTCTAACACAATCTGATCAGAAAGAACTGATTTAGCTTACAATCTTAAAACTTTTTTGACAGTATTTGCGAATGTGTGCATTGTGTCTCCATGGTAACTGCTGAACATTCCACCATTAAGACACATGTAGAACACCCCCAGCAAAGGATCAACGCAGGACCTCTGTGGACTTGTATTGTATTGCATTATGATTTTAAATGTACAGTTACATGGTTACAGTTACACAAAGTTACAAGTAAAAGTACAATTATCCCAAAAATAAAATGATGCAAGTTGTTTTCTGTTATTGTCATCCCTTGCTTTTGTAAATGTACCTGTATGATAGAGATTGTTTGATATACATCACAAATAATGTTTAGACAAAAAAGACAAAATCTTAACTTATCTTCTATAAATGAAATATTTATCTTTTTTATATACTTTTTTATTTATTCAGGTTTTTCAAGTTTTGTGTAATAAAGAACAAAGAAACAACCAATACAAAGCTTGGGGCGTTGTTCCACTGTAATAAGGATGTTGAAGAGTGAATCAAGTCTCTTTTTGTTTGTATTTCAACCATTTTGTCCAGCGTTTGATGAAGAAATGTCCTTTGAGTTGTAGAAAAAAAGTTAGTTGTTCCATGGAATATATTTCTTCTATAATGTCTAGCCACTGATTCAATGACGGTGGGTCCTTTTTAAGCCAGCTTCTTGTTATTGCTTTTTTGGTGCCAATGTCAAAATCTTAAAAAGGTATCTGTCCGCTTTTTTGATCACCTCTCCAGGCAGAAGGCCTAATAAAAATATCTTCGGGTCCTTGGGGACAACTTAAGTCAAGATTGTATCTGTTTTTCCAAACACATTGTCCCAGAATGATTTTAATTTTGTACATGTCCAAAAAATATGAGAGTGATTGGCATTTGAGTGGCCACATTGTCTCTACAATGACAATCAAACCCTTATACTCTGGCAGTAATTTGAGGAGTAATAAAGAATCGTATAAGACACTTCCACCCAATTCCCTCCACCTTTTGGAACCAGTTGTTGTTTGTTGTGTGCTGCATATAAAAAGCCAATCCCTCTCTGATAAAACAATATTCAGCCCCTCTTCCCATTTAGATTTAACATGAAATGTGTTGTTACCCTTTTCTTTTTGCAGCTCTTTATAAAGTTTAGAGACAGATTTGCTGGGCAGAATTTTAGAAGCATTTAAAACCAATATTACTGTTATCATCTTGGCTTATATCTGTGTTGTAAAAAGCACGTACCTGTAGATATCTAAACAAATCTGTGTTATCTAAATTGAATTCTATTTTCAGATTTTCAAATGATTTAAAAGTTTTTCCCTCCACGAATGTGCAGAAGGCATTATTTATCTTATTTTAATTCATTATTATTTCACATAAGACAATCTATTAAAAATACAAACATTTAACATGAAATATTGAAATAGAGCCGACATTTCTGCCTTCGAAGAATCCATTGTCATCACTATAGTATCCATCTGTCTTCACTCGTGGTGTATGAGATGCTCTCCCCTGTCAGGCGGCTCCTGACCTGTGGCAGGGTCGAGCTCCTGCCGCTGTCTCTCTCACACTCCACATGTAACACTTATGTCAACAGGAGAGTGGTCACGCATGACAAACTGTCCAAGAGGAATCACTGAGGAGGGGAGATTGTGTCAGAGTAATGAATTATGTATACAGATATTGGTTCTTTGTTGTTTTAATAACATAGAACATTATACAGTGTTTTTTCATTGATGTCTGATAGAGTCTGATTAAAGGTGCGCTATTTTACTTTCAAAAACATGTATTCTTATTGTGAATGTGACTGCCTCTCCACAGATCTGACCTGTGGCATTACCTACGTGTCTGTATGGTGATAGATATGTTTAAAGGACACAAAATTGACTCTTGTGAGCTTTGAGCCATGTTATAATGTTGTTACCTCATCAAAAACATACCTGGAGTAGTTTTCTCTTTCATTCTCACATGTTTGAGCAGCATGTTATATTAGTCTGTGTAATGAACCAAACAGAAAGGCAAAAAGATAAGGTATAAAAATATGTTTAAATGTAATAAAGTTAAAAAAAAAAAAAAAAAGATTTAAGATTTTAACAAAGGCTCAAATTAGGTAAATCATTAACAAAAAGAGCCGGGCCCAACTGGGATAATTCAAATCAAACTGAACAGAGCAAAACTAACCCAACCAGACAAAGAAACAGTGGTGTTTAAATACCAAGGACCAACTGAAACTGAACACAAGAGAGGTGAATTACACTAAATAATTAACTAAAACTACTAACTTAATCAAAATAACAATAAGGCAAATAAATATAATACAGCAAATAATAAGTGCTAATAAAGTGACCTTAAAGCAAACTAGAACAAACTTAGTAAACCAAACTAAAGAGTGCTCCCCCCTTTATTGATTCATGGATGGTCTCAGCCAAGGATCCTCCGGCAACTAAAACAAACAAAAAGAAAAAAACAAGTGTAAGTATACAATTTAGGCTTATACTAAAATGTGTGCACCCAAATTAGAATATAAGTCTAAAGAAATGAATTAAATTATATGTTGTAATTAACTTAATGTAAATGTAAATGAAATAATACTAACACTGTGGAGTGGCAGAGGTATCTGTTTACACCTCCAAAGCTCAAAATGCTCTGTTCTACCTTGTGACGTCATGCAGCCGTAGTTATTCAAGTTTAGTTCGGTAGAGATTGTCAAATCCGTTTCTAAAATCATCCAGTTTATTCTAGTGAAGGTGTATGGAGTTTAAGAACACAGTGGAGCACTTCCTGCAGAGGTGGGACCGAGTCATTGTTTTGCAAGCC